GTGATTGATGGAAACCTAGTTACATCATCTTCAATAGATGCAGTTGTAACAACAATGGTGGCACCTTCAGATTGTCCAAATGTGGCCAGTAACTGCAGAAAAGTACCACAGGTGATTGTAAAACTTCTAAGTGATGATTCTCTAAGTTTAGACATGGTTCGTATTATTGCAGAGCAGGAAACTGATAACACATCACATAATGCTCATGGTTTCAACATGCTCACAAGAACAGGAACATTAGTTCATACAAAATTATCTGAGAGTAGCATCATCAATGCTGTTGCACCCAACCAGTATCGCCAGACAGAAGTTATCAGGCCTACTATCAGAGATGAAGGAGAAGTCAGCCCAGAATGCAGTGTAGTTTGGACTTGCGCCTACTGCAGCCTAGCATTCTCAAGTTCTGAAGCAGTGGGGCAACACCAAGAAAAAGACTGCACAGAAAACCCAAACAATGTTGTATTTGCAACCACAACATCTCAGTCTACTGTTGATGCCCTGATGTCTCCTTTGAGAGAATCAGAAGATCCATCTTATGATCTGAAATTAGAGCGGGGAGATTCACAGCCAGATGACAGTATGAAAGAGGCTCAAGATGCACAGAAAGTTCAAGAAAAGAACGTTGAATCACCTGACTGTGAAACTACTTGGAACTGTGCTGTGTGTGGCAGTGAATTCACAGATCCCAAGGAACTAAATCAGCATCATATGACTCATTCAGTTCAGGAGCTTTCTTCAGCATTATTTAAATTCACAACCCCACATCAAAAAGCCAAGAAGAGCACAAGAGCCAAATCACCAGTCACTGTAAAGTCAGTCTTTAATTCATCCTTGCAAAATGATAGTACCAAGGTTAGGTGGAATAAGGATGTGGCTGATACAAAGCTGGAGGAAGAAATGGCTGACAACCCGGGAGACACTCCTCCACAAACCCCGCCGCTGGAAGTCACTGTGAAGAAACGGAAGCGAAAGCCGGGCCCCAAAGCAAAACCACGTGAAAAGAGTGAGAAAAGGAAATATGTCAGGAAACTTGGAAGTGATGGGAAGCCAATTCGTCAGCGTGAATATAAAGTTCCCCCAGCTGGACATGGTAGTCGTGATCCTCATACTTGTTACATTTGCAGTAAAGTCTTAAGCTCGAGGGGAAATTTAGCCAAACATTTAGTTTTACATAATCTAGACAAACCTTGGGTATGCAATTTATGTGGAATAGGTTTTAATGCAAAACGAGATCATAAACATCATTATTTACAACACCATACAAACGAAAGGCCAAACATCTGCAAAGTTTGCGGGAAGGGCTATGTTGATAGCAGCTCTGTCTGTCTCTGTCTGTCTCTGTCTGTCTCTGTCTGTCTCTGTCTGTCTCTGTCTGTCTCTGTCTGTCTCTGTCTGTCTCTGTCTGTCTCTGTCTGTCTCTGTCTGTCTCTGTCTGTCTCTGTCTGTCTCTGTCTGTCTCTGTCTGTCTCTGTCTGTCTCTGTCTGTCTCTGTCTGTCTCTGTCTGTCTCTGTCTGTCTCTGTCTGTCTCTGTCTGTCTCTGTCTGTCTCTGTCTGTCTCTGTCTGTCTCTGTCTGTCTCTGTCTGTCTCTGTCTGTCTCTGTCTGTCTCTGTCTGTCTCTGTCTGTCTCTGTCTGTCTGTCTCTGTCTGTCTCTGTCTGTCTCTGTCTGTCTCTGTCTGTCTCTGTCTGTCTCTGTCTGTCTCTGTCTGTCTCTGTCTGTCTCTGTCTGTCTCTGTCTGTCTCTGTCTGTCTCTGTCTGTCTCTGTCTGTCTCTGTCTGTCTCTGTCTGTCTCTGTCTGTCTCTGTCTGTCTCTGTCTGTCTCTGTCTGTCTCTGTCTGTCTCTGTCTGTCTCTGTCTGTCTCTGTCTGTCTCTGTCTGTCTCTGTCTGTCTCTGTCTGTCTCTGTCTGTCTCTGTCTGTCTCTGTCTGTCTCTGTCTGTCTCTGTCTGTCTCTGTCTGTCTCTGTCTGTCTCTGTCTGTCTCTGTCTGTCTCTGTCTGTCTCTGTCTGTCTCTGTCTGTCTCTGTCTGTCTCTGTCTGTCTCTGTCTGTCTCTGTCTGTCTCTGTCTGTCTCTGTCTGTCTCTGTCTGTCTCTGTCTGTCTCTGTCTGTCTCTGTCTGTCTCTGTCTGTCTCTGTCTGTCTCTGTCTGTCTCTGTCTGTCTCTGTCTGTCTCTGTCTGTCTCTGTCTGTCTCTGTCTGTCTCTGTCTGTCTCTGTCTGTCTCTGTCTGTCTCTGTCTGTCTCTGTCTGTCTCTGTCTGTCTCTGTCTGTCTCTGTCTGTCTCTGTCTGTCTCTGTCTGTCTCTGTCTGTCTCTGTCTGTCTCTGTCTGTCTCTGTCTGTCTCTGTCTGTCTCTGTCTGTCTCTGTCTGTCTCTGTCTGTCTCTGTCTGTCTCTGTCTGTCTCTGTCTGTCTCTGTCTGTCTCTGTCTGTCTCTGTCTGTCTCTGTCTGTCTCTGTCTGTCTCTGTCTGTCTCTGTCTGTCTCTGTCTGTCTCTGTCTGTCTCTGTCTGTCTCTGTCTGTCTCTGTCTGTCTCTGTCTGTCTCTGTCTGTCTCTGTCTGTCTCTGTCTGTCTCTGTCTGTCTCTGTCTGTCTCTGTCTGTCTCTGTCTGTCTCTGTCTGTCTCTGTCTGTCTCTGTCTGTCTCTGTCTGTCTCTGTCTGTCTCTGTCTGTCTCTGTCTGTCTCTGTCTGTCTCTGTCTGTCTCTGTCTGTCTCTGTCTGTCTCTGTCTGTCTCTGTCTGTCTCTGTCTGTCTCTGTCTGTCTCTGTCTGTCTCTGTCTGTCTCTGTCTGTCTCTGTCTGTCTCTGTCTGTCTCTGTCTGTCTCTGTCTGTCTCTGTCTGTCTCTGTCTGTCTCTGTCTGTCTCTGTCTGTCTCTGTCTGTCTCTGTCTGTCTCTGTCTGTCTCTGTCTGTCTCTGTCTGTCTCTGTCTGTCTCTGTCTGTCTCTGTCTGTCTCTGTCTGTCTCTGTCTGTCTCTGTCTGTCTCTGTCTGTCTCTGTCTGTCTCTGTCTGTCTCTGTCTGTCTCTGTCTGTCTCTGTCTGTCTCTGTCTGTCTCTGTCTGTCTCTGTCTGTCTCTGTCTGTCTCTGTCTGTCTCTGTCTGTCTCTGTCTGTCTCTGTCTGTCTCTGTCTGTCTCTGTCTGTCTCTGTCTGTCTCTGTCTGTCTCTGTCTGTCTCTGTCTGTCTCTGTCTGTCTCTGTCTGTCTCTGTCTGTCTCTGTCTGTCTCTGTCTGTCTCTGTCTGTCTCTGTCTGTCTCTGTCTGTCTCTGTCTGTCTCTGTCTGTCTCTGTCTGTCTCTGTCTGTCTCTGTCTGTCTCTGTCTGTCTCTGTCTGTCTCTGTCTGTCTCTGTCTGTCTCTGTCTGTCTCTGTCTGTCTCTGTCTGTCTCTGTCTGTCTCTGTCTGTCTCTGTCTGTCTCTGTCTGTCTCTGTCTGTCTCTGTCTGTCTCTGTCTGTCTCTGTCTGTCTCTGTCTGTCTCTGTCTGTCTCTGTCTGTCTCTGTCTGTCTCTGTCTGTCTCTGTCTGTCTCTGTCTGTCTCTGTCTGTCTCTGTCTGTCTCTGTCTGTCTCTGTCTGTCTCTGTCTGTCTCTGTCTGTCTCTGTCTGTCTCTGTCTGTCTCTGTCTGTCTCTGTCTGTCTCTGTCTGTCTCTGTCTGTCTCTGTCTGTCTCTGTCTGTCTCTGTCTGTCTCTGTCTGTCTCTGTCTGTCTCTGTCTGTCTCTGTCTGTCTCTGTCTGTCTCTGTCTGTCTCTGTCTGTCTCTGTCTGTCTCTGTCTGTCTCTGTCTGTCTCTGTCTGTCTCTGTCTGTCTCTGTCTGTCTCTGTCTGTCTCTGTCTGTCTCTGTCTGTCTCTGTCTGTCTCTGTCTGTCTCTGTCTGTCTCTGTCTGTCTCTGTCTGTCTCTGTCTGTCTCTGTCTGTCTCTGTCTGTCTCTGTCTGTCTCTGTCTGTCTCTGTCTGTCTCTGTCTGTCTCTGTCTGTCTCTGTCTGTCTCTGTCTGTCTCTGTCTGTCTCTGTCTGTCTCTGTCTGTCTCTGTCTGTCTCTTCTGTCTCTGTCTGTCTCTTCTGTCTCTGTCTGTCTCTTCTGTCTCTGTCTGTCTCTTCTGTCTCTGTCTGTCTCTTCTGTCTCTGTCTGTCTGTCTCTGTCTGTCTGTCTCTGTCTGTCTCTGTCTGTCTGTCTCTGTCTGTCTCTGTCTGTCTGTCTCTGTCTGTCTCTGTCTGTCTCTGTCTGTCTCTGTCTGTCTCTGTCTGTCTCTGTCTTACATCTCACATTCGCAAGGTTCATCATAGTGATAAAAAGTCTTCAGCCAAACAACAAAAAGAACAGCAGCTGCAGCAGCAGGCATCACAGCAGCATATTGATCAAGGAAATCACCCTGTTAAATCCAAAGACATTACAGAATTCTTGTTGCCCAGTGGAACCCCAGCCCACATCCTCCCAGATCAGTTGTTGCCGACTGACTTGGAATCTGCTAGTCTGAGTGGATCTGTGACCACAAAAGATGGTATTTTTATCAGCAGTGATCCTTTAGCAATACCAGCTCTTATCCCGATCAGAGGAACAGGAGAAAATGGTGTAAACTGTTCTTATGGTGTAGCCCTCACCACACCAGCAGGGGGACCAGGTGTGACCCCTACAGTTGACCATGCGACTTATATAATGATCAACAACCCAGATGAGGAAGTTGCTCCAAATGCAGTCCCAAGTACTCATGGTTTAAACATCATGTACACTGCTGATCCAGCACAGGCTTCATCACAACAGGTAAGGGAGTGGGTACTCTATAGATTATATAAGGCAACTTTATCCTGCTATACATATCCAACTCATTATTCTTTTACAGATTTTTAGGTGAAAAGGCTTAGTTGTGATATTATGTGTGTTTGTTTGATTGAAGAAATAGTGTGAAACATCTTTTGAGAAAATTTTTAGGAGGCACATGGAAATCAACCATTGCCTCCGTACCGTTAAGAACAGAGGACATAATTTAGGTGAACTTTCCCATGGGAGAATAGAAGTCAGTGATTTAAATAAATAATTGTAGCTTTATCTGACCCTCTGTTTAGCTTTTACTTGATATTATATTATGCCCTCTCCCTCTCTGTCTCTCCCTCTCCCTCTCCCTCTGTCTGTACCTGTCTCTGTCTGTCTCTGTTTGTCTCTGTCTGTCTCTGTCTGTCTCTGTCTGTCTCTGTCTGTCTCTGTCTGTCTCTGTCTGTCTCTGTCTGTCTCTGTCTGTCTCTGTCTGTCTCTGTCTGTCTCTCTCTCTCTCTGTCTCTCTCTCTCTCTCTCTCTCTCTCTCTCTCTCTCTCTCTCTCTCTCTCTCTCTCTCTCTCTCTCTCTCTCTCTCTCTCTCTCTCTCTCTCTCTCTCTTTCTCTCTCTCTCTTAAAAACCCTATTTTCATATTGTGTGGTTTAAAATAGCATTAAATAAGATACATTACATACAAATTACTAGATTTTTAAAAGGAATGGATGCCACTCCTTATACCTTAAATTTGGTAGCATAGCTAATTGCTGGGACAGTATCACAAGTAGTAAAAGAGCCATGATAGTTTGGCTTCTTTTCTTATAAGCTATACCAGTGGAACCAGCTTGTGAAAGGGCCTCACCATTTTGACACAACTATTATGGCAAAGCTAACATTATATGCTTAAAAATGTTATAAATACCATAATCTCTCTACAAAAGGTTGGTGAAGTTGATGGGACTTCCTTGGACCAGATAGAACACCTCTCCTCATCAGTAGGTCCTTCTCTGGTATCCTCAAATAGCCAGCTACACCATCGTCTGAACAACCAGGGACAAATAGATCAAGGTCAAGATGCTCAAACTATAATAACTGGTAAGTGTAGAGTGTTCTAATGAGAGAAGTGAGTTTTAAATTACTGTATTTGTTAAGTCGTATTCAGGTATAATCACAGTGTAACACCCTACTCTCTGATGCCTATAAAAGCAAATTCCTGGTGGTTAGCGTAGTTTGACTGGATTCCAATTTGTATAATTCATTACATCCTGTTTTTCATACACTATGCTTTCTTTTTGTTGAAACTGATATATAAAGCCATGTGCTGCTTATCTGTTAAGTAATTTACCACCAAATATCATCTCAAGGTAACTGTAGAATTTAGATATCTTGATTGGGAAATGGGACAGGCTTGTAACCAGACTTAGTGAAGGTAGAAGCTTCCCACATGCAACATATATAAACAGTGTCTTTTGTATACATAGTAATAATGCTTCCTGGCATATATACATAGTAGTACATAAGAGATACAACTCATCATACATGAATATATAAGTGTCTGTGTTACTAGCATATGTATTTACTGAACTTTTTTTTTTTTTTTTTTTAATATAAATTTTAACTTTCCCTACATTCAAGTAGAAGATGCTATCAACAGTGTATACTCTAATTCACAGGCATCAGCATCCAGTAAACATTACATTTATCCTCCTTTGCTAGGCATATGATATAGAGATTGTACAATTCCAAAACACTATGTCATATAGCCTAGGCCATATTGTGTACTTGGGGCAATACATGACAATACCCATGTGATTACATAGCACCTACTTAAACATATGTCAGCATTTACATCCATATATATTTTTATGTGTTATTATTTCCTTTGAGAATGAGTTATTTATGATGCATGTCTATCTGCAGTACTGATATAATGTATTATTTTACTTCAGAGGAAAATGTGTTGGAAGAGGGCCATAGACAAGAGCTAAAATTTAGCACAAGCACAGGAGAATCTGGTTCCGAGATGAGAGCTGATGGCACGCACAATCCCAGCACAGCTCCTTCCCCAAGCGACCCAGGGCCTGGCTTCCACCTAGAACTACTGTCTCAAACTATTCAGCTCGAGTTACAAAGAAGTCAGACTTCTACTGGCTTTATAGGTTAAATACTCAGAATTATATTACCTTCAAAAGACTAGTTCACATCTTAGGAGTTGTATGCATTTTGCGTGTTAGTGAAAGAATCTATTATGTGTACAGTACTGTTTTTATAATGTTATTTTATACTGGTGTTCAAGAATACACAGGCAGCATATAGGGTTTACAAGCATGATTTTTTTCTCTTTTAGTAAAAAATGTGTACATACATTGTACATCTGGCATGACATAAGCACTTTGACTATATGAATGTTTTACTTATGAATTCTTACAAATTACATAAGTGCTTATAGTGACCCTTGCATTTATGATATCTATATGTGCATGGTTGTGGAACTTATGGCTGCCAGGGTATGTGATTGTTTCAACTTCAGATATTTTACCATTCCAGTTTAAAAATATAGAGTTCTTAATTATTTCATCTCACACTGCCAGTTCAACTTACTGTATGTTATACCAAAAAATAAAATATGTACAGTGTTTGCTTGTTTGAATACCTTAGTCAGTTGCATGAAGGAAAGTGGTATGTTTGAGAAGTACAGGAAAGGGGTAGGAGCCCAGTGAGATAAGCAGCAGGAATAGGAGAACTTGATGTTAGTATGGAACTCTACCAAACTTCAGCCACCTGAGGGGGAGCCACTACTGCATTGGTTCTTGGGCTGAGGAACAAATGTTAGGGGAGACAAAGGAACATGGACACTGTAGTATGGGATAGTATCTACAAGAACATTCCTTGGGTTACAAGCTGTCAGGGAGGACATTATGAAGTTAGGAAAGTGTGAGATTTAAGATCAACAAATTTCAACCATAAATCAAAACCTATAGGAATAAAAAATGGGGAAAAAATTAGAAATTAACAGCAGAAAAAAAACATGTTTCTGGGAAAATATCTCCAGTGGGATCCATATGCTAGAAAGAGGAAAGGGAGACAAAAAGATTGGGAAAGGTAAGAGCAGGAAAGGTAAGAATATGAGCAAAGCTAGGAGAGAACAAGGAGTATGCTGCCAGCCCAGTATAATGAACTTCCTCCTGATAAACAGATCAATAGATATAACACCTCTCAGCACTAACCTACTCTTAGGCCAGCAGGTGATGAAGTCATGTGTTTCCATACAGCTTAGCACTCAATTTGACCATTGGAGAAACAGTTCTATTGATCATTAACCAGGCGAGCCTGCTTGAAGTTGTGTTAAACCATTAGTAATTTGGCTGACACTGACTGGTCACTGAGGACAGGAGCCTCTTAAATGTAGGACTTTTTGTCTCATTAAAAAAAAGTGTGCATACACAGCAAAGACCAGGATAAATGTAGTTTCCTGCACTTCTAATATTTCACTCAGTTGTCTGACTGCACAACCCAATAAAGGGTCAGTAGGGAATAGAGAATCCTTTGTGAATTGGTTAAATGAATTAATGGGACTGGTCTTTGAGGGAATTAAACAAATAGTCAATCTTTATATGATTTTGATAAAGTGCAGAAAAAGGGCTCCCTCTGAGGTACATATAAACTTTAGGCATCATTTGGGGTCCTTTTGTTAGTGAAAGAAGCCAAGCTCTGTTTTGGAAATCTTAACTGTTGTGATTCTTATATAGTAAGTACAGTTTAAAAAAATGTGTGATTCCTCAAGTAACATTTAGGATGTATTGAAAAACATACTGTAATTTTATACATTTTTATACACTGTATAATGCAATCACCTTTACAAAGAATTTATAACAATGTACCCCTTCACTTGGCAACATATGGCACATAATAAATGCTGTAGAGAAAAAAATCATCTGATCACATATTTCCCACAAAGTTTTATTAATATCATTCTCTGGAATTTTAAGAAAATAAAGTTGCAAAAAATAATACAATTATATTTTGTCTTTAATTCTTTCAATAACAGTATTAAAACTTTAAAATTTCTGCATGTACTTCAAAAAATGGAAGCTGGAATGTCATTTGAAAATACATTGTTTTAAAAGAGAGCTTGGATTATATTCACACTATTATTTTTCAGTTCAATTGTCAATAGCATGAAATATTAGGAAAATTGGAGTGTTGTTACTAGTGTCATTTCTTAGAAGATTCATAAGTCCTCTTGGTAATTAGGTGCATCACTAGCTTGGGATAAAGATTGATCCTTAGTGTGCTCAGAATTCTGAAAATAGAAAATTACAAATCAGACTTGCATTTTGCAGCTATTTTGTAGCCTACATGTTCATATGGGAAAGTGATATTTCAATGATTATTGTCTGTTTCTAAATTTAAAATATATTCTAAATACAATTAACATGGTTTATATATGAATACACTTAAGTGTAGTTAAATGGAACACTCTAGCCAGTCTCATTACTCAAACACAAATTGATCATTAAATTTTCGTTATTGCACTTGGTCTGATTACACTTTAAAGTTTAGTGTGCATAAAATGAAACACAGGTCAAAACAAGCTGCTGTATAACCTATATATCATAAATGACTTGGATAATAATCAATCTGAATGAAAAGACCAACATTCTGGGAATCAAGAATACCTTATATAATAATCTGTTATATCTAGTTCCCTTATAATGTTTGTGAGATGTTTGACCAGTATGACTGATAATTCAAATTTACCTTTTATGATCCAATATCTTGCTTTCAAATCATTACACTTGATGTCATTTAAAATACATTCTTCCTTGAGTGAAATGCCATAACTATTGATGGGATGATTGATCCTTCTTTTTTTTTCCCAAATAATTTGCAAAAGGGAAATATTTTAACAGGGTTATTTAACATCATGTTATCCCAATAAGACAAATGCTTACAAAATCACAGGAATAATTTCCCACCCGATTACATGAATCTATCAACACTACTTACAATCGATGCGCTGGAGTTCATCAAATCATCCAACGAAATATCTTCATCAATATCTTCCGCATCTTCAATTTCTTCCTCTTCCTCTTCCTCTTCGACATCATCCTCTTCAGCATCATCTTGGCCTCCCTTCTCACTCATGGATGAAAAGTCATCCTCATACTGCTTTTCTAAACCTGCAATCAATTAAAGACACTCAGCATATTATACGTATTATATTTTTAAAGCTGTAGCAACAACAATGCCTCAGTTACTTGTGTTAATGCTGTTATAATGTAAATTCAATAGTCTAATCAAAATTTAGTATCATCCCTTATTGAGAGTGTAAGGCAATATGATTTTCACATATCTGTCTACTGTTGCAGTTAATTTTAAAGGTATATGATATCCATAAATTACATAAACAAGAAATTCTTTGCATATATCATAAAATCAAGTTAATAACCCCATCTTAATCTCCACTTTTTCCTTCTGTTGAAATAATCAAAATTTCTCCACACTTTTAAAAACATCACAAAACTGAGAAATTAGCCTGGCAACCACACTCACTGTCAACCTAGAGGCACAGGACAGGTAGGAGAAGGACTCCATTTAAAACATACATGAGAGCCAACTGCCCTACCTGTTAAAGAATCGCCTGCTTCTTGATGTGTTCCTTCTGCCTCGACCTCCAACTTTTCTTTCCTTCTGAATATAAAGGAAATATGAGTTACAAATGAAGAAAAATGTGTGTGTCTGCATGTGTCTGTGTGTGCCTGTGTGTTTCTGCATGTGTGTGTATCTGTCTCTTTCCATGGACATGAGATTACATGAGCTTTTATACTTCTATACATTTGAAGAAGCAGTCTTTTCCCAAAAGATTTTAGTCTTGGTTCTTATAAAAACAGGAAAGTGTATGTAATGCACATACTAAGAATAAGGGAAGAGGCACTTACCCATGAATATTCATCCCTGTGCCCGTTCTTCCTTTATCGTCATCATCTTTTACAGTTTTGGAAGGCACTGTGTCCGTTCCCAGAGTAAGAGATCCTAGATTGTTCCTTTCTTGCGTCTGAGTTGCCAAAGGGTCTTTATTTTCTCCAATTTCATCACTCTTCTGAGATTCATTTTTGATATTTGAGATGCTCTTGTCTTCTTTAGCTGAAGAGAAGTCAAGAAAATTAGTCTCCCTTTGATTTTTCAACACCTGAGAGTTTCCTCCAAAATGACTATTGCTCAAAGGGATGTTGGAGATCGGCTGCAACGTTCTTGGCGCTGAGAGTTGTGGTAGAGGACCCATGTCATTCAGTCTGCCCTTTGGCACTCCTTTGTCTCTGTTATGCTGTAAGTAGAAAATATTCTCAAAATCAAACACTTTGGTCGATTTGAGTTATACGCATTTTTGATATCATTCTCCCCTCAACACCATTACTTTGGGGTCTTCAAAAATTATCTCTGCATTATATATATATATTATAGGATATTAAGTACATCTATGGAATTTACAATATTACAATATTTTGCATGTAATGAGGCCATGTTTCCGTTACTGTAATTCACTCTTCAATTTAGAATACATTTCTACAGGAATTGAATAGAGATGCAGTTTCATGGTAAAAAGTACAAGAAACTCAAAATATATGATAAACTTTCAAATGTAAATATCATTCTTTCTCAACATGGAAAAATATATAATAATTCATTCATTTCTTTTTGTAAATCACATATTGTGTTAATGCTCAACTATAGAAATTTCTGTCTCACACACTAACATATTCAACTTACCCCCAATTCAGATGGTTTAGATGATGTCCTTTCTTTTAGAAGTTCTATTAGTAATGGAGCTTTATCACCAGCTGGGGGAAAAAAATATATAAATATATATACATGCATATTACATGTTATATTCATCCCCAGATGATTATTGTTAAGCACTCAAGATCATCTACTTGTGATTGTAATACCATTTACAAGAAAAGTAATTAAAATGTGCATGTAAATTGAAAAATAAAAAATTGAAATGTTGTGTTTTTACCTTGCTTATTACTGAGGTTGAGATTACTTGATAAGGCATCTTCTCCTGGGAATGTCCATAGTGTTGAATGTCCAGATTCTGGAGCAAAAACCGCGAGAGAAAAGTCCAGACTAAGGCACTGAAGGAAGTTATGAACCAACGCAGCTGCTAGGACTCCTTCTGGAGTTGCTAGTAACTGCTTTGCAGAGGCACTGACCAGTGGAATATTTTTCTGAAGGAAAGTAATGAGTTACTACACATATATGCAATGATCTTCAGATAAGTTCCTAAAAATATATCAGTTACATCATTGTATTATAAAACTAAATGCTGATTATATGAAACCTCAACATATTATCTAAATGTTAAAAACTCATACCCACAATAACTATCTAAAGGTGGATGATTCCTGTGACAGTCAATATCCATTTGCAAGTCTCTGTACTAACAGATAAGGAAGGCTTAGATAGAAACAATGAAGTTCCAAAGAAAACAATGGGATCATTACTCATGACTTCCCAGAAAACATACTCTTGGATTTGTTGTTACTTCAGCTCTCTGACAGCAAACACATAGTACCCCAACAATCTAAAGTAATACCCAGACTATTTAAAATTAATAGTAGGATGATTATTTTCAATTTGCAAAAAGATTACTGCATCCAAAACAACTGCCCAACCAGTGACCTCTCAGATGAATGAAGTCTGGTCCCTTTATTTAATCCTGATCAATTCATTTATCCTGAGATTTCTATCATATCCCTCCTACCCTCCACTATCTCACAATCAATGAAAATGGACAATCAACACATGTCCTGACCTATTCAAAGACATTAACATCATTATGAAAGCTTCTGTGAACATAATGATAACAAGAGCCAATGGCATTTTTATCAACTTACATCTTTAAACTCCTCCTCTAAGGCAAGAAAGACACTGGCCCTTAGTTGAGCCTGAAAAAGACAACACAGAATTCAGTAGCTGATGATTATGCTTGATAATTATGTTTTTAATTCACCAATTCATGCCAATGGGTGGCTTCTTAAAATTCAAACTACCAAAACTATAGGTACATTGCTAAAAACTAATATGGCAGTATACAATCAATAACAGTGCAAGAAAAATAAAAAATAATATAGTACTAATAATGGAAATATCACTATCAATAATAACAATAAAGGTAATGCTAATGATAATGATAATGATGGTGAATATAAAATAATAGTATAAATAATGGGGATGATGATGACCAATAAATATGATGGTGATGATGGTGCTGATAGAGATAGAGAAACAGATAGAGATAGTAATAATAATAATAGTGCAAACAAATATGAAAATGAAAATGAAAATGATGATGATGATAATAGTGATAATAATAATGACAATCATGACAACAGAAATGATGATAAATGATGATAGTAAATATTATAATAAAGAGCAGTAATGATAATAACAATGACAATAATTATTATTATCACAATAATAATGATGATAATAATGAAAAATTATTAAAATGATAATAAGTTATAAAAAAAAAAATACAATAATAATAATAATAACATTAAAACAGAAACAACTTCTGATTATTATTATTATTAAAATTAAAATTCAAAAAGTTAAATATAAAAAAGAACAATCAATAAATAAAAATCAAAAATTCAATAATAATGATGGTGATGATGATGATAATGCAGTATTGATAATGGACATATCACTTTCAATAATAAGAGCTCAGATAATAAGACTATCAGTAAAATCAATACAAAAGACTTAGCAAATTATAAATGTTAAGGGATATGTTAAGGGTTAAGGGGAAAATGAACAAAAAATGGGGAAAATGCTGTGCCTATTTTCTATATTCTTTTATGAAATGTTTGCCCATAGATGGCTCTGTTAGTGCCTGATTTGAAATGGCGGGAAAATCGTATTTTTCACTAGTGCCATGAATATCGATGGTGTTATTTATATTATAAACATTATAATTATGATAATGTTTTTTAACATAAGTAACAGCAAAATAAGATAATGTAAAATATTTCGTAAATCAAAGAAAAGGGTGAACGGGCGAGACAGGCACTACTTATAAATGGCTCATTGGTGATTTAGTACAAGTGTAGCCACCTATGTGTGAAAACAATCAAACAAGTAATCTCACAGTGGGCATGGCATGGCATGCCCGTCGGCAATGGGTTAACAACAGATAGAAAATAAGTATGCATTATTTCTAAAATAAAAAGATATGGTTGGAATATAAATACTTGTATCTGACAGAGGTTAGTTGGCCTTTGCCAGAGCACCAAAAGCAAGTAGCAAATGCAATGGCTTGACTGCAACTAAATCACAGATGAAATATATCTTGTCATTCATCAGTCTATGAATTCACAACTATGTTAACTGTGTACTGTGTGTACTGAAACTGAAATATGATTTATTCATACAATTTATATATACTGTTGATATTTAAGTGATTGTGGTGCGTGACGTAACAGTGTCAATTAGCTAAATGGATTAGGAAGCACATGGCAATAAAGAGAGGGATTCACTACAAAAGCACGCCATTTTTTCGCCTTTCCCGCAAGAATACGGTCCCTTGAGCGCCAACCTGTATCTTCCCGAGGACTCCATTGGTCTGCAACGTCTTCGTAACAAGTTCTTTCAGACTTGCATCGTCCTCTTCCACTGACATTTTGAATTATTCGGTCGTTTCCCTTCGAACGTCCTTTTTCTTCTTCTTCTTCTATTCCTTTTCTCTTCTCCTTCTTCTTCTACTTCTCTTTATCCCTCTTTCTTTTTCTTCCTTCTTCTTTTATATGGTTTCAGCCTCCCTTCGAACGTTAATCGCCCGCACCCTCGGAGCAGGTGACATCGGTCTGAATGTTTGCGTTCTTGTAAGCTCTTCCGTCGATCCTGGTGAATCTGTTGTGCTTTTATTTTTTTTCTTTTAAATATCACAAAAACATATCTATATGACTAAATTTTAAAGTATTATTTAATGTATGTAACTACTAGGGATAATTAAGATGTCCGAGAATGATGGTTGAAGTGTTCATTCGTTTGTAAATGGATACAGATGTTGGTTAATACAAATCGACGTTTTTATTTCTTGGGGTTTAAAGCATTGGCGGTTATTTTTCTTGTCTGCATGCGAGATATTTTTGCATTTTGACATTTCACCGGATCTTCGGCAATGGGTTAACAACAGATAGAAATAAGTATGCATTATTTCTAAAATAAAAAGATATGGTTGGAATATAAATA